CGAAATGTGACGGTATTGCTTATATACCATATATAAATAAACACCTTTTTCTTTGGTGGAACACTTTCTCTTCCACCATAGTTCATTCTAGGCTCGGCACTGCTTGCATATTTCTCTAAGAAAAAAAAACAGTAATAGTTATTTCATGCACAACAAAACTTAAATATGTCCACAATGTACCGATTAAAAACTCTACAGTTGAACGCCGTAGTCTCATGTGGGCTTTGAATTCACTTTCGTTGTAACCTTCAATGACTTCACAAAAGTTCCCACATTTGCTCCTTTCTTCCCGTTCCGATTCATCAGAGCTTGAGGAAGATTCCGAGCTGGAGCTCGAAGGCAAGCTGTTTAACATCGCCAATACACCAGCATTCCCGCTCATGAGCTCTTCGTCATTTTGTAGGAATTGGGAAATCTGAAATGTTATTTTTGACTAAATACATGATAATTACGAAAAAGAGCACTTTCTTACCAAATCTAATCGCTCGTTGTCCATTTTTGCGTTTTTATTATAAATTCTTCTCAATTTTCTGTAACTAGTTGCAAAATATTCTCCTTGTATGTATACACACAAAATATTGTTTTGTTTACTTTATGAACTGTCAAATAATTCAGTGCTTCCAAGTAATTCATTAAGTGCTTCCCAACATATGCCATTTGTGACAGCTCTTTTTCAGTACTTCCAATCTACTATATTTATGCCAGTTGAACGTTCATTTCGCCACTCGCTAACTGTTGGCGAATCGATGACGGCTACTATAAATGTAGCAAAGCTTTTTATAGCAAATTCTAGATATCAACCTAGTCTGGTATCAACCTCGTTGTAGGCATCATATTAAAGAGATACAACTAGAAGACTATAGATGTCACCCCGCCAGAAGAAGTTAAATATTGCGCTTAAATATATGCACTATTTACTTACGCTACTGCGGAAATGGACGACACGCCATTTCTTTAAATGAAATTAACTGCTGCTATATATATGTACGTACATATGTATGTTTATGCTAAACGTGAGCAAACAACATTTGCTTGCATTGTCTTCTGTTCTCTTTTCACTGCAAGTTAAACTCTTTTAATATCTATTGCAAAATTTTATACAGACAAGACTTAAAAGTAGAAAATAAATAAAACTTTTTCCTTTTTTCGTTTTCAATCTCATAAATGGTTTATAATGACTTTTGCTAAAATTTCAAAGTCAAAAGTTATCAAAACAAATTCTGTGGAACTAAGAAATATTATTTTCTAATTTTTAGTCCATTTATAAACTCTTTACTCTTGCTTTCATTTTGACTAATTTTGATCACAATAGATTTTTTTAAACCAAGGAATGAAACAGATTCAAAATAACGTTCCGGTTTCGGTTTTGCAAAGTGTTTCGGTTTGAGTTTTGGTCTCGTTCCGGTTTCGGGTTTGAAATAAAAAAATGAAAACAAGTTTGACAAGAAAAATTATTTATTATATTTAACATTTATAAGTAACATTGTAACATTGTAATAAGAATGACTTGTTGCTGATAGGTATTCCATATACATGCACATATGAACAGGGAACGGATTTTATGGAAATTTCCTTTTTTTCTGCTAAAGAGATAGACTATATTCGATTAAGAATGTCCACGATTTAGCTTTCCCTGATTCCATATATACACATTTGATGTTGCCTTTTTTTGCCTTTTTTTAAGATATTTGCCTTTTTTTTGCCTTTTTTTGCCTTTTCTATCTTTAAAATATTTACAAATTTACAATTTTTTTTTTAAATTAAAATATATACACATTGCCCATGCGGCTGATTGAAGCGCAGAGACCTCTTGCCAAATCGGTGTTGGAAAAATTCAAAGCCGTTTTCTCAGCTAACGAAGGCTTGGAGACAATAAGGGGTGTGGATAAAATTGTAAAGGGCGAGGAAAACGCCCTTATTCCTGATAATATGAACGTTTCAAACGCTAGGCAAAAAAAAGGCAAATATCTTAAAAAAAGGCAAAAAAAGGCAACATCAAATGTGTATATATGGAATCAGGGAAAGCTAAATCGTGGACATTCTTAATCGAATATAGTCTATCTCTTTAGCAGAAAAAAAGGAAATTTCCATAAAATCCGTTCCCTGTTCATATGTGCATGTATATGGAATACCTATCAGCAACAAGTCATTCTTATTACAATGTTACAATGTTACTTAACGTTGTGACGTTAATATAATAAATAATTTTTCTTGTCAAACTTGTTTTCATTTTTTTATTTCAAACCCGAAACCGGAACGAGACCAAAACTCAAACCGAAACACTTTGCAAAACCGAAACCGGAACGTTATTTTGAATCTGTTTCATTCCTTGGTTTAAAAAAATCTATTGTTATCAAAATTAGTCAAAATGAAAGCAAGAGTAAAGAGTTTATAAATGGACCTAAAAATTAGAAAATAATATTTCTTAGTTCCACAGAATTTGTTTTGATAACTTTTGACTTTGAAATTTTAGCAAAAGTCATTATAAACCATTTATGAGATTGAAAACGAAAAAAGGAAAAAGTTTTATTTATTTTCTACTTTTAAGTCTTGTCTGTATAAAATTTTGCAATAGATATTAAAAGAGTTTAACTTGCAGTGAAAAGAGAACAGAAG